CACCTCCCACACTACATCATTCTAACACATCATTCTTCACCACACTACATCCATTTAAACATTCTTCTCCCCTCCACACTACATCATTCTAAACCTCATCTACCTCCCACCACATCATTCTAACATTCCATTCTCCACTCACCCTAATCATTCTACTCATCTTCTACCTCAACTACCTCATTCTACCACATCATTTCACTCCACATAATCATTCTAACCTCCTTCTCACCTCCACACTACATCATTCTAAACTCATTCTCAACTCCACACTCATCATTTAAAACATGATTTCTATCCAACACTACATCATTCTAACACTATTCTCACTCCACACTAACTCATTCTAACACATCATTCTCACCCCACACTAACATCATTCTAATATCATTCTCACCTCCACACTACTTCATTCTAAACACATCATCTCACCGCCACACATACATCTATTCTAACAATCTATTCTCACCTCCACATACATCATTCTATACACTTCATTCTACCTCACACTACATCATTCTAAACATATCATCTCACCTCCACACGTTCATCATTCTAACACTCATTTCACTCCACACTCACATCATTTTAAACACCTCATCTCACCTCCAACTACATCATTCGAAACAATCTTCTCACCTCCACCCTTACATATGGAATTATAAACAATATTTAATGGGAACGTACTTTCATTATATTAAACATATTTCTTGTATAATTACAAGACTTCCAGTCAGCAGCTATGAATTACATGTGTACATTTTCAAACACCTGGGACCAGAACAGTGGAAACTAATACTATATATTACTTCGCCTTAAGTGGCCAGTTCTTTACCTGATTAGGGATAATCATGCTTGACTTAGGTTCAAGCTCCCATTTCTTGAGTTTAGTTTACAGAAGAGGGTCTAGTGTGAAGGCTGAAATATACAGCCACTGGTTCTTATTTTGTTCATTTGTATTGTCCAGTCTAGGCAAGGTGGGCATATTGTATGCGTCCAGTGTCAGAAACCTCGCAGGTCTCGTCTCTCCAGCTGAGATAAACACTGGTAAATATTTACTTTATATTATATATATATATATATATATATATATATATATATTAATATTATTATATATTATATTTATATATGTATATATATTTTATAATAATATATATATTTATATTTATATATATATATAGATATATAATATATATATATGATATATAATTTATATAGATATATTTATATATATATAATAGATATATATGGGATTTGGAAAAAGGCGTTATGCAGAGTGGATAGGGGGGCCAATGTGGCAGATGTTGCAAGGTGTATGGTGTAGGAGAGTAGGTTACTGAAAGCAGTGAAGAGGTTTTTTCGAGGATGAGTGAGCTCAAGTTGAGTATGTAGGAAAGACGGGAACTTTTTTCCAGTAAAAGTAGGCTTAGACAAGGATGTGTGATGTCACCGTGGTTGTTTAATATATTTATCGGATGGGGTTGTGAGAGAAGTAAATGCGAGGGACTTGGGCAAGAGGCGTGAGTTAAAAGATTAAGGAATCCACACACAAACGTGGGAGTTGTCGCAGCTGCTCTTGCTGATGGACACTGTGCTCTTGGAGATTCTTGAAGAGAAGTTGCAGAGACTTGGCGGATGCATTTGTAGGGGTGCCAAAAAGAAGAAAATTAAGGTGAATTCAGGATAAGAGTAAGGTTTGAGGATAACAAAAGTTTAGGAAGGTGGATGAAATATTGAATATCAGATTGGAGGGAGAGAGTATGAGGAGAGTGAACGATATTCAGTATTTGGATGGCCGTAGTCAGCGGATGGGTTATGAAGATGAGGAGATGTATCATTAGAATTGATGAGGAAAAAGATGTTGGTGGTGCACGTTGGAGTCTTGTGGAGACCAAAGAACTTTGTCTTGGCGGCAAAAGAGGGGAATGTATGAGAGTTAGTTTTACCAACGCTCTTTATGGGTGTGAAGCGTGGGTTATGAATGTGTGCAGCGAGGAGAAGGCTGAGGCAGGTGGAGATGTCATGTCTGAGGGGCAATGTGTGGTGTGATTTATGCAGAGAATTCGTAGTTTGGAAAGTTAGGGAGGCGGTGCGGATTGCACTAAACTGTAGTCCAGAGGGCTGAGGAAGGGTTGTTGAGGTGGTTCGGACATTTAGAGAGAAGGAGGAACAGAATGACTGCAGAGTGTTTCTGTCTGTAGTGGAAGGAAGGCGGGGTAGGGGTCGGCCTAGGAAAGGTTGGAGGGTGGGGGTTAAAGGAGTTTGGGTGCGAGGGGCTCCTTGGACTTCCGCTGGCATGCATGAGCGTGTTTGATAGGAGTTAATTGGAGACAACTGGTTTTTTAATATTGACTGCTGTTGGAGGTGAGCAAAGTTACATTTATGAAGGGGTTCAGGAATCCGGCAGCCGGAACTTGAGTCTGGAGAGGGGAAGTACAGTGCCTGCCCTCTGACGGAGGGGTGTTAAGTTGCAGTTTAAAAACTGTAGTGTAAAGCACCCTTCTGGCCAAGACAGTGATGATGGAGTGAATGATGGTGAAAGTTTTTCTTTTTCGCGGCCACCCTGCTTGGTGGGAATCGGCCGGTGTGATAATAAAAATAACTAAGAAATATAATATATATAGTGAATTATGGTATTGAAATGAATTGCTTAAGATAACAGATGTTCAATGAGATTAACTTCCTACAGTTTATTGTTTTAAATAATTATCTGATTTAATGAAAACTTTTACAATTATAAACCAGTTAATTATCGGCCATACCAGGTCCTTGATACCAATAATTACGTTCGTTAGCTGCACAGCTTTTTATAACATTCTGCACGCCACCGTCTTAGACTATTATCTGGATAATGTCAGGAGGGGATCCAACACGTTTTTGTTGCTTTGCGTCCTGGACCTGGTCTTGGTACTGGACCTGGTCTTGAGTCTGGACCTGGTCTTGGACCTGGTCTTGGCCCTGGACCTGGTTGACTGGTCTTGTCCTGGGCCTGGTCTTAACTCTCAGTCTGCTCGGTCTCTTAACTCTTGCTATATCTTTATGTTCAGATAAAAATTTTTAAACTTTAGCGATGTTTTTTTATCCATTTTCTCGCTTTTAGAATAGAATGTATTATTTCTTATTATTCCATGAAGAAGAGCTCTAAACCCGTGTGGAATGTAAAGCTTCTGAGGCATGGGAGGTTAATTAGACTGATCAGGTATTGGGTAAGTCAATGAATTTAATGAAATTATTTGGCATGTAAGTTGAACCAGAAGTTCCCATCTTTGTCTACTTATGAAGCTTGATGCTCTTGTGTTCTTTTTCTATGCTTTGGTATTTTTTAGCTGGAAGTTTTAGTATTAAAAATATTACAAATCGTGAATACAGAAGAAATTGATTTATCACTGGACATGAAGACTTATACTCTTTTAAGCTTTTAAAGAACTTACAAAAGCTTGGTTACTGTTAGTGCGCAACTAGATTCGTGCAGCTGTATACGTGTCCGGCACAAACACTCCTTGTCACAGTAGTAATTTCTCTGTTGTGTATTAGGACGTGATAATTATATGTTGTGTCATATACTTCAAGAAGTGTGAATTTTGTGTTTACTTATGGAACGGTTTGATGATTTAGACTCGTTTATATTGTTTCTTGTACAGTGTACGTCTTGTACAGGTACGCTACTTGATAGAGTGTACGTCTTGTACAATATACGTCTTGTTACAGTATCGACATCTTGTACAGTGTACGTCTTGTACAGTTACGTTTGTTTTGTAATGGGTCTTGTACAGTATGCGTTTGTACATATCTTGTACAGTATAGTCGTGTATCTGTATACGTTAGTACAGTTACCGTCTTGTTACAGTATATCATCTTGTACAGTATAGTCTAGTACAGTATACGGCTTCAACATGTCCAGTATAAACATGTCACGTATAAAAACATTTCCAGTATCAACATGTCCAGTATGATACATTGTCCAGTATCAAACCATGTCCAGTATCAAACATGTCAGTTTGAAACATGTCCAGTATTCAAACATGTCCCGTATCAAAATATGTCAGTTATCAAACATGTCTGTAGTATCAACATGTCCAGTATGAAACATGTCCAGTATGGAAAATGTACAGTATGAAACATGGTCCCGTAGGAAAAACTGTCCCAGTATCAAACATGGTCCAGTATCAAATATGTCCAGTATTCAAACATGTCCAGTTATCAAACAGGTCCAGTATCAAAAATGTCAGATGAAACATGTCCTGTATGAAAAACATGTCCAGTATGAAACATGTCCAGTATCAAACATGTCCAGTATCAAACATGTCCAGTATGAAACCAGTCCAGTATCAAAACTTGTCCAGTATCCAATATGTCCAGTTATCAACATGTCCGTATCAACATGTCCAGTAACAAACATGTCAGTATTCAAAACATGTCCAGTATGAACACATGTCCAGTATCACAACATGTCCAGTATAAATATGGTCCAGTATCAAACATGTCCAGTATCAAACATGTCCACTATGAAACATGTCCATTACAAAACATGTCCAGAATGAAACATGTCCATTATGAAACATGTCCAGTATCAACATGTCAGTATCAAACATGTCCAGTATCAAACATGTGCAGTATCAAACATGTCCAGTATCAAACATGTCCAGTATCAAACATGTCCAGTATCAAACATGTCCGTATGAAAACTGTCAGTATGAAAATGGCCATTACGGAAACATGTCAGTATGAAAACATGTCCAGTATCAAACATGTCCATTATGAAACATGTCCATTATAAAAATGTCCAGTATGAACATGTGCAGGGATCAAACATGTGCAGTATCAAACATGTCCAGTATCAAACACTGTCCCCCCGTATCCCCAACATGTCCAGTACAAACATGTCCAGTATTCAAAATGTTCAGTATTCAAACATGGTCCAGTATCAAACATGTCCAGTATCAATCATGGTTCAGTATCAAATATGGCCAGATCAAACATGTCAGTATCAAACATGTCCAGTATCAAACTTGTCCATTATCAAAATGTCCAGTATCAAATATGTCCAGATCAACCATGTCAGTATAAAACATGTCCGTATCAAACATGTCCCAGTATGAAACATGTCCAAGTTCTGAAACATGTCCAGTATCAAAAATGTCCAGTATCAAACATGTCCAGTATCAAAATATGGTCCAGTATCAAACATGGTCCGTATCAAACATGTCCAGTATCAAACTGTCCAGTATGAACTTGTCAGTATGAAACATGTCCAGTATCATACATGTCCAGTATCAACATGTTCAGTATGATCATGACAGTATGATCAATGTCGTATCAAACATGTCCAGTATCAACATGTCCAGTATGAAACATGTCCAGTATGAAACTTGTCCGTATCAAATATGTCAGTATCAAAACATGTCCAGTATCAACTTGTCCAGTATCAAACATGTCAGTAATGAAACATGGTCCTTATGAACTTGTCCAGTATGAAAAAATGTCCAGTCATGAAAACATGTCCAGTTATGAAACACGTCCAGTATCAAACCTGTCCCTGCCCCCAAATCAAACATGTCCAGTAGCAAATATGTCCAGTATCAAACATGTCCAGTATCAAACTGTCAGTATCAAACATGTCCAGTTGAAACTATGTCCAGTTTGAAACATGCTCCAGTATGAACATGTCCAGTATCAAAACATGTCCAGATCAATACATGTCCAGTATGAAAATGTCCAGTATCAATCATGTCCAGTATCAATATGTCCAGTATGCAAACATGTCCAGTTCTAACAGTGTCACAGTTTTCAAACATGTCGTATAAAAATGTCCAGTTGAAAAATGTCCAGTATCAATACATAGTCCAGTATCAAATATGTCTATGTATAAAACATGTCCAGTATCAAAACATGTCAGTAGTCAAACATGTCCAGTATCATAACTTGTTCAGTATCAAATATTCCTGTATCAAAACATGTCCAGTATGAAACATGTCAGTATGATAACATGTCCTGTATGAAACATGTCCATTACGAAACCATGTCAGTATGAAAATGTCCAGTAGCAAACATGTCCATATGAAAACATGTCCATTATAAAACTTGTCCAGTAAGAAACATGTCAGTATCAAAACAAGGTCCAGTTATAAAAACATGTCCTGTACAATCATGTCCAGTATCAAAAATGTCAGTATCAAACATGTCCAGTATCAAAACATGTCAGTATCAAAAATGTCCAGTATCCCAAACATTGTCCAGTATCAAAAACATGTCCAGTATCAAACATGTCCAGTATCTAACATGTCCTGTATCAAATCATGTCCCGTATCTAACATGTCCAGTTATTCAACATGTCCAGTATCGATAACATGTTCAGTATGAAACATGTCCAGTATGAAATGTCCAGTATCGTAAGTAAAAGGACACAAGTCAACGCAACTAATGTGACATTTTGTGTGGCAACGTTTCGCTCTCCAGGAGCTTTTTATCAAGCATTACAAACAATACATGGACAAAGTGGGTATATAAAGGATCAGAGTGAGGGTTGCAATTATAGTGATGGTACCATTTAGATGTTCACTAGTGGTAGTGGTAGCCCCCCCCCATAGTAGTAGTAGTAGTAGTGGGTAGTGAACAAAAGTAATACAATGTGGTAAAGCAATTAATCGTACTGAGTACAGGACTATAAAAGCTATTCTTGGGTAACATAAAAATAGGTTGGACAAATATAGACTGGAAAGGAAGCAGCTTGGTTTCAGTGTTCAGTCTCTGTAATGTACTTTGTGTAGTAGAAAAGAAAGAGGTGACTATGTGATGGGCGGGTTTAATGTTTTCAGGAGGATTTCTTTTGCTAAGATTCGGTAGATGGTGAAAGCTGCCGTGTGTTTGTTTTAATTGTATTTGAAACAGCGATCACAGTGCGGATTCGAGGCATCTGCGTTGCGGAAATTAGTTGCATTGATCACTAATGGGCGGCTCTGAATTTCATGTGATGCTTTGGTGAATTTCGGTGTTGTACCAGGCGTTGTTAAGTTATCGTTCTACATGGTGTTTAAATGTGTTCTATTGAGGCGGGTGTCGAACGGTTTCTTGCTGTTTTCACCTACGTAAATCTTTGTCACAGCCTCCACAGGGTATAGTGTTAAACATCTACCATATTGTATTACTTTTGTCACTACCACTCTACTACTACCACTACTACTACTACCACTACTACTACTACTACTACCACCACTAGTGAACATCGAAATGGTACCTCACTAGTATTACACCTCACTCTGAGCCTATATATACCCTCTGTGTCCATGTATTGTTTGTAATGGCTTGATAAAGCTCCTGGAGAGCGAAACGTTGCCACAATAAAATGTCACATTAGTTGCACTTGTGTCCTTTTACTTTACATATTGTCGGTAATTCTACCAACATTATTACATGTCCAGTATCAAACATGTGCAGTATCAAACATGTCCAGTATCAAACATGTCCAGTATCAAACATGTCCAGTATCAAACATGTCCTGTATCAAATATGTCCAGTATCAAACATGTCCTGTATCAAACATGTCCAGTATCAAACATGTCCAGTATCAAACATGTCCATTATGAAACATGTCCAGTATCAAACATGTCCAGTATCAAACATGTCCAGTATCAAACATGTCCAGTATCAAACATGTCCAGCATCAAACATGTCCAGTATCAAACATGTCCAGTATGAAACATGTCCAGTATGAAACATGTTCAGTATCAAACATGTCCAGTATCAAACATGTCCAGTATGAAACATGTCCAGTATCAAACATGCCCAGTATAAAAACATGTCAAGTATCAAACATGCCCCTTTTATCAAACATGTCCAATATCAAACATGTCCAGTATGAAACATGTCCAGTATGAAACATGTCCAGTATGAAACATGTCCAGTATCAAACATGTCCAGTATCAAACATGTCCAGTATGAAACATGTCCAGTTTTAAAAAACATGTCCGGTATGAAACATGTCCAGTATCAAACATGTCCAGTATCAAACATGTCCTGTATCAAACATGTCCAGTATGAAACATGCCCAGTATGAAACATGTCCATAATGAAACATGTCCAGTATCAAACACGTCCAGTATCAAACATGTCCTGTATCAAACATGTCCAGTATCAAACATGTCCAGTATATCAAACATGTCCAGTATCAAACATGTCCAGTATGAAACATGTCCAGTATGAAACATGTCCAGTATCAAACATGTTCTGTATCAAACATGTCCAGTATGAAACATGTCCAGTATCAAACATGTCCAGCATCAAACATGTCCGGTATCAAACATGTCCAGTATGAAACATGTCCAGTATCAAACATATCCAGTATCAAACATGTCCGGTATCAAACATGTCCAGTATCAAACATGTCCAGTATCAAACATGTTTATTATCAAACATGTCCAGTATGAAACATGTCCAGTATCAAACATGTCCAGTATCAAACATGTCCAGTATCAAACATGTCCAGTATGAAACATGTCCAGTATCAAACATGTCCAGTATGAAACATGTCCATTATGAAAAATGTCCAGTATGAAACATGTCCAGTATCAAACATGTCCTGTATCAAACAGTCCTTTTTAAAAAATGTCCATATGAAACATGTCCAGTATCAAACATGTCCAGCATCAAACATGTCCGGTATCAAACATGTCCATTATGAAACATGTCCAGTATCAAACATGTCCAGTATCAAACATGTCCTGTATCAAACATGTCCAGTAACAAACATGTCCAGTATCAAACATGTCCAGTATCAAACATGTCCTGTATCAAACATGTCCAGTAACAAACATGTCCAGTATCAAACATGTCCAGTATCAAACATGTCCTGTATCAAACATGTCCAGTAACAAACATGTCCAGTATCAAACATGTCCAGTATCAAACATTTTCCTGTATCAAACATGTCCAGTAACAAACATGTCCATTTATCAAACATGTCCAGTATCAAACATGCCAGTATCAAACATGTCCAGTATCAACATGTCCTGTATCAAACATGTCCAGTATGAAACATGTCCAGTAACAAACATGTCCAGTATCAAACATGTCCAGTATCAAACATGTCCAGTATCAAACATGTCCAGTATCAAACATGACCTGTATCAAACATGTCCAGTATCAAACATGTCCAGTACGAAACATGTCCAGTATGAAACATTTTCAGTATGAAACATGTCCAGTATCAAACATGTCCAGTATCAAACATGTTCAGTATCAAACATGTCCAGTATCAAACATGTCCAGTATCAAACATGTCCAGTATCAAACATGTCCAGTATCAAACATGTCCAGTATCAAACTGTCCATTATCAAACATGTCCAGTAATAAAAACATGTCCAGTATCAAACATGTCCAGTATCAAACATGTCCAGTATCAAACATGTCCAGTATCAAACATGTCCAGTATCAAACATGTCCAGTATCAAACATGTCCAGTATCAAACATGTCCAGTATCAAACATGTCCAGTATCAAACATGTCCAGTATCAAACATGTCCAGTATCAAACATGTCCAGTATCAAACATGTCCAGTATCAAACATGTCCAGTATCAAACATGTCCAGTATCAAACATGTCCAGTATCAAACATGTCCAGTATCAAACATGTCCAGTATCAAACATGTCCAGTATCAAACATGTCCAGTATCTGTTAAATCAGTTTTCCTCCCAACTTATGTAATCAACTTTTAATTCTAGGAGGATCTTTGCCTCTTCTTTATTGTGTATCGATTTTTAAGTTGTTATATCCAGGACGACAAAGAACAACTCTCACAAAAAAATTGTTACTCCTGTAACTTAATGTCCCCCACAACCTCAAAATTTAAATATATATATATATATATATATTTTATATATATATATATATATATATATATAAAATATATATATATATATATATATATATATATATATATAATATATATATATATTTAAAAAAGGGTTTTTAACTGTTTCCTATCATTGTCGTAGAATTCATCCATTATTTGCATCACTGACTGTGATTTTGAAGACTTTAAAAAAACCTTGTATAAAAAAATATTTTGGATATCAAGCATGTGTCAGGAAATCCATTCAAAGGGAACTTTCAACGTAACTTTATAAGGATAACTAAACCATGAATTTAAACTGGATTTAGGGACTCATAATGTTGGTATTCTGGAAGAGGTGAAAGTTGGTATCCCACACAAGACTAGACACAACCTCAGCCACATTACATCTCTTGACACAGTTATCAGTGACTATTGAAAAACCGGATACACGAAGTGCAGCATCACGATATATACTTCAGTAAACGTAAGTAAAGAAGGGCTGGGGAGATCTGTTTCCTAGTTATCTTGAATGGTTTTAACATTTTCCTTTGATTCATCAAAGTAATTCAGTTAAAATTAGCCTCTTCTTAATTCCTCGAACATTGCAAGTGTAACAGTCATCATATTCTCAGTTTTCTCAATAATTTCAACTCTTCGTTTTTATTTGTATTATTTCTGGTATTCTTTCACTTAACAAATAAAAATAATCATCATTATTAATTCATCACAACGTATTCATCAACACGTACTTGCCTCTAATGAGTAAATTTATTAATTTTGATAATGCAAATTAGAATGTGAAAGAGATTTAAATCTGATACCTGATGTGACTGTTATAATCTTCAGACGACCTATGTAATATTACAATATTTTTCACTTTTTAAACTTTACATGTTCATGCATGTTCGTCAATTAATTTTTTCATTAATATATTTTATTATAGTCATTAATACCGCACTGGATATTTCTGCTGTCTTCTTTTTTTTTTTCCCTACGCATTATATTCATTTCCTCCATATAAGCTGCTCGTCACGCTTAATTAAATTCCAAAGATTCACAATGAAAACATCTACATTTTTTTGTTTTCTGATCACCATAAAAAATACTTCATAACATCTTAAAATATATATGGTTGTCTGTCTCCTTCTTCAGTCTACTTCATCGTCACCTTCTTCGTCCTTCAGGATGCCCAGTCTCTTAGCCATGCTCTTGACGTTACTGATAACTTCCTCTTGTACCAGGTTGAAGCTCATGGCCAGAAGTGCAATGCAAACAGAAGGTAAAGAACACAAGGCGATACTCAGCTCCACGTCTTCCTTCACTTCCCTGGGCAGGGAAAGAAGTCACCAAAACTGTAAGCGTAATTTTTTTAATAACAGTTGCATTCTCTTAACAGTTAGTTAACTGTGGTAACACAATTAAAAAAAATATACATCTTTTATGGCATTTCTTACAGTGCCAGCATGTTTCTAGGTAACATGAGGTATTGTCTGTAGTTACCCACAACTACTCTGTGGAACGAGGTCATTATTCGAAGCTTTTCAAAATATATGACAAACACGAAATCACATACATACATAAACACACACACACACACACACACACACACACACTCACAATTATTCCTATATTTTGTGATCTCAAACTTAACTTTCCAGGAGTATTAACCTACAGGTTTCCTGGCATAAGGAAGTGTGACATACATGGTTAGTTTTGATGTTACTTTCTTGTTTACGAAAGTTCTTATCTGAAGAACTCGTTAATTATGATTTACCATTACCAGTTCCTACAATCATTAAATTTATTAAACTTTGCATTGTTGATGCAAAATTTGTATTTAATGATAAGTTTTACACTTAGAAATTTGGTATGGCAATGGGAAATCCTCTTTTACCTGTGCTTAGTAATCTATACATGGATTTTTTTGAAACAAGATTGCTTAACACAATCCTCCCTAATAGAGCTAAAAGGTTCAAAATATGTTGATGATATTTTATGTCTTATGCCCAAGAATGTAGACATACACCATTTCCTTGGCAAATTAAATAGCTTAGCCCATTCTATAAACTTTACTGTTGAGTTTGAGGAAAATAACTCATTGCCTTTTCTAGATGTTTTAATTATTAAAATAATAATGAATTCAAATTCAAAATTTACAGAAAACCTACAAATAACTGTTCCTATATACACTATTATTCTTCCCATCAAGATATAGTTAAACTGTCTGTTTTCTCATCAATGTTTTTGAGAGCTTTACGTATTTGTAGTCCAGAGTTCATAGATGAAGAAATATCCAAAATTTATGAAATAGCCTATGATCTGAAATACCGGAGAAAAGTAATTGATAAATCATTTAAAATTTGCTAGAAATACTTTTTACAACCCAAAAAAGGGAAACCCAAACCCATTAACTAAAAAAATGTTGGTTTTCCCCCTTTCCATGAAAATTGGTTGATATGCCTTCTCTTTTTTAAGATTTTAAAATTAAAATTATATTTAAAAAACTTGATACAGTAAAAAACTTTTTAAAAAGAATTCCCCCCAAAATGCGAGGATGTGTCTATAAGATTCCCTTTTAAAATTTGCGATAAAGTTTATTTCGGTCAAACTGGGAAAAATCCGAACTTGATTAAAAAAAAACATAAATATAGATTAGAACTGGACAAGATCAAGCAAGTCCATGGTCGACACAAATATAATTGAATCTTGTTTCATGAAAAGCAGTTTTGAAAATAATATGAATATTTCCTTAGGTTTATATAAATTAGATTTATTTATAATTAATAAAATTTGGTTAGAATTTAATAATACATTGGACAAATAATAAACCTTATTTCTTGGGTAGAATATTTTGTTAGTGGGATGTCGTGAGGACCTGTCTAGTTGGACCAGCGGACCTACTGCAGTGTTCCTCTTTTCTTATGAGTCCGGTATTGTCGCGCGTCAGGTGTTTCATTGTTGTGGGAGTTGACTGTGAGGTGTGGTCTAAGCCCTTTAATTGCCTTCCTTTGATTTATTACTTTCATAGATCCTTGACAATGTGAGTAGTCACGAAAGCGCTTGGAATTTCACTACTCTTTCATAGCGGTTGTTTTGCATATTTTAAAATCACCTGTTTACTGTGATCGTATTGTATATAGTATATTATATTATATATATATATATATATATATATATTATATATATATATATATATATATTATATATATATATATATATATAATATAATGCACGCGGTCTTTGTTATTGTAGCAGATGTTAGACACTCCCTAGTGCGCTGCACCACCTAAATAAATGCAATAATTTGCCTTATATCTCACAAAATAACAATTTGTACATAGGTTACTTGTATTAATAAGGGCAAAATAATGATCGATTCCACCCAGTAGTTGTGATAAATCATTACCGAGGAATTTCTGTATTAGATCAAGTTTTTGAGAATAATGAACTTAGCACTTGGTAAGAGAACTTGGTAAGACAACAAACCCAGGCTCTGCCTGGGTTTGTATCTAAGTCTGCTAAGCTCTTATTAGAGATGGTCTTGCAATAATATTTGACTATAAAATTAATGATGACTGGAGGTCTTTCCACCTGGTGGGACTTGCCTATTGTTGTCAGAGTGATGAAGCAGAAGTAAATGGAGTCTAAGAAGCCCCATTTCTCCCAGCTTGCAAAGAGAAAGGCTCCCCCGAAGATGTAAGCCACCACCAGCATCACTCCCAGCCAGATAGGAACTGGCCTGTCTCCAATTATATCGTCGTCGTCATCGTCCTCTTCGAACCTATCATCGTAGTCATCGTAGTAGTCTTCATCTAGACGGGAGAGACGACTTCTAGGATCAGTTGGGGGAGGTAAGTGACGAGGGTATCTTTCTGAGGAGCGAGGTGACCTAGGCATCGGGGGGGAGTCGGAGTAGCCTGTGGGAACATGTCACCAATATGAATACACACTATATTTATGCCTCGTAGGTAAATTATATCGTAAAACCAATATTTTCGGATATTCTTGGCAGTAGATGTTGATGTTACTGTCATACATAAGGTTATCTGTAAATATGTAAATGAATCTATACCCAGAAAAGCAATATAGCTATTAGTAAAGCATCATGTGAAAATTATATTGCCAAATTAGCTATAACATAAATATTACAGATATAAAATTAATTTCATACATTTAGCAGGGTTACATAAAGTATAGACAGAGCCAGACTGTATTGTGCAGTATAGATCACAGATCATGTGAGATCCACCAAGCTGCTGGCACATAGCCAGACTGGTTAGCAACATGCAGGAAGTAGACCTGTCCACTCGCCCAAGCTGGCGGTAGACGTGAGGCTGTAGAAGTATCGTTCATAAACAGCTGTACACCAACTAGGGGACTCAAAACACACAGCATGAAGTCCTTTGAGATCATACACTGAGTTAGCTCATGGGAGTTGCAACCTTTAATATTTAAAGTTTCTTACTAAATTAGTTACAAAAGTGAAGTATCTTATATAGAAATTAAGTATATTTTAATTTCATATTGTAGCCCAAATTCTTGCCGAGGAGTTTAGACAAAGCACAGAAACTGAATCTCGGCAGTATCCCAATATATAAGCCTCGGGAGTGAGGAGGAGCGAGTCAGACCAAGGGACATTATTCATACAAGAGGCTTATAAGGTATCCTGAAGGCGGTAGGCGAATGTGATGAGCATAGGACTGACATGTGTATGTGTCCTAAACAATATTGGTTGTAGTGTGCGTGTCTGTCTAAACTAAATCCCATATATAGTAAGAAACAGTTAATATGTTACGGTAGCAAGACATAAGACCATCATTCATTAAATTATGTGACACCTAATGAATTTTGTCTTCAGTGTTCTAGTTTAAGCGAAGCGGTACACTTAATACTGAATTAAATACTCGTTGACAGGAGAAATATTTAGTCTAGTGTATTCCACGAAACTGTACAGCGATGTGGTAACAAGAGAATCGAGTAGACTGGTAGATTAAGAGTTCAGGACAAGCAAGAGTCAGGATAACCTGTCTAGTAATGTATTTGTGTAACGTTTGAAAAGTATTTTTTTTTTAGCTCTGAGCCCGAACCGGGTCCAGGGTTCTTTGTTGTTTGTTCGCCAGGCTGTTGCTGCTGCTGCTGCGGCCGCCTCCAACCGAGGCAGGGTGACCCAAAAAGAAAGAAAATCCCCAAAAAGAAAATACTTTCATCATCATTCAACACTTTCACCTCACACATAATCACTGTTTTCGCAGAGGTGCCCAGAATACAACAGTTTAGAAACATACGCGTGTAAAGATACACAACATATCCCTCCAAACTGCTAATATCCCGAACCCCTCCTTTAGAGTGTAGGCATTGTACTTTCCATTCCCAGGACTCAAGTCCGGCTATATAAAAATAACCGGTTTCCCTGAATCCCTTCATTAAATATTACCCTGCTCACACTCCAACAGATCGTCAGGTCCCGAATACCATTCGTCTCCATTCACTCCTATCGAACACGCTCACGCACGCCTTCGGAAGTCCTAGCCCTTCGCTCACAAAACCTCCCTTACCCCTTCCTTCCAACCTTTTCGAGGACGACCCCTACCCCACCTTCCTTCCCCTACAGATTTAATGCTCTCCATGTCATTCTACTTTGATCCATTCTCTCTAAATGACCAAACCACCTCAACAACCCCTCTTCAGCCCTCTGACTAATACTTTTATTAACTCCACACCTTCTCCTAATTTCCACAATCCGAATTTTCTGCATAATATTTACACCATACATTGCCCTTAGACAGGACATCTCCACTGCCTCCAACCGCTTCCTCGCTGCTGCATTCACAACCCAAACTTCACACCCATGTAAGAGTGTTGGTACTACTATACTTTCATACATTCTCTTCTTTGCCTACATAGATAACGTTTTTTGTCTCACATATACCTCAATGCACCACTCACCTTTTTTTCCTCATCAACTCTATTATTAACCTCATCTTTCATAAATCCATCCGCCGACACGTCAACTCCCAAGTATCTGAAAACATTCACTTCTTCCATACTCCTCCTCCCCAATTTGATATCCAATTTTTCTTTATCTAAATCATTTGATACCCTCATCACCTTACTCTTTTCTATGTTCACTTTCAACTTTCTACCTTTACACACACTCCCAAACTCATCCACTAACCTTTGCAATTTTTTTTAGAATCTCCCATAAGCACAGTATCATCAGCAAAAAGCAACTGTGTCAATTTCCATTTTGTATTTGATTCCCCATAATTTAATCCCACCCCTCTCCCGAACACCCTAGCATTTACTTCTTTTACAACCCCATCTATAAATATATTAAACAACCATGGTAACATTACACATCCCTGTTTAAGACCTACTTTTACCGGGAAGTAGTCTCCCTCTCTTCTACACACCCTAACCTGAGCCTCACTGTCCTCATAAAAACTCTTTACAGCATTTAGTAACTTACCACCTATTCCATATACTTGCAACATCTGCCACATTGCTCCCCTATCCACTCTATCATATGCCTTTTCTAAATCCATAAATGCAATAAAAACTTCCCTACCTTTATCTAAATACTGCTCACATACATGCTGCAATGTAAACACCTGATCTACACATCCCCTACCCACTCTGAAACCTCCTTGCTCATCCGCAATCCTACATTCTGTCTTACCTCTAATTCTTTCAATTATAACCCTACCGTACACTTTTCCTGGTATACTCAGTAAACTTATTCCTCTATAATTTTTATAATCTCTTTTGTCCACCTTCCCTTCATATAAAGGGACTATACATGCTCTCTGCCAATCCCTAGGTACCTTCCCCTCTTTCATACATTTATTAAACAAAAATACCAACCACTCCAACACTATATCCCCCCCTGCTTTTAACATTTCTGTCATGATCCCGTCAGTTCCAGCTGCTTTACCCACTTTCATTCTACGTAATGCCTCATGCACCTCTCCCACACTCACATCCTGTTCTTCTTCACTCCTAAAAGATGGTATACCTCCCTGGCCAGTGCATGAAATTACCGCCTCCCTTTCTTCGTCGACATTTAAAAGTTCCTCAAAATATTCTCGCCATCTACCCAAAACCTCCATCTCCCCATCTACTAATTCCCCTACTCTGTTTTTAACTGACAAATCCATTCATTCTCTAGGCTTTCTTAACTTGTTTATCTCCAATTTTTTTTCTTATTTTTATTTAAATTTCTTGACAGTGCCTCTCCCACTCTATCATCTGCTCTCCTTTTGCACTCTCTCACCACTCTCTTCACCTTTCTTTTACTCTCCATATACTCTTCTTGTAACACTTCTGCTTTGTAAAACCTCTCATAAGCTAACTTTTTCTCTATTATCACACCCTTTGCTTCATCATTCCACCAATCACTCCTCTTTCCTCCTGCCCCCACCCTCCTATAACCACAAACTTCTGCCTCACATTCTAATACTGCATTTTTAAAACTATTCCAACCCTCTTCAACCCCCCCACTACTCATACCTGCACCAGTCCACCTTTCTGCCAATAGTTGCTTATATTTCACCCGAACTTCCTCCTCCTTTAGTTTAAACACTTTCACCTCCCTCTTACTTGTTGTTGCCATTTTCCTCTTTTCCCATCTACCTCTTACTCTAATTGTAGCTACAACTAGATAATGATCCGATATATCAGTTGCCCCTCTATATAATCCTGGAGCATACCCATCAACCTTTTATCCACAAATACATAATAGCTAAATTCAAATCCAAATACCTACAAAAACCTCTCACATTGATAAACATCTACAGAGTTCCACAATCAAACATTAGCCAATTTAGTCAAAACCTAGGAAGTATGATAACTGATGCACGCATGAACAAAGATCACTTACTACTCTCAGGTGACTTCAATATAAATCTCCTGCAAGACCAGGACCCACACGTTACTGAATTCACAAACACAATGAGTAACTGCATGTTGCTACCAACAGTAACAAAACCTACAAGAATTACAGAGACTAGTGTTTCCCTACTTGACCACATCTGGACCAACACCATATCCCCTTTAAAATCAGGCATAATTACAGATAATACCACAGACCACTACCCTACTTTCCTCATAACAACTCTTGGTAAAATACCCCAAGACACTACTAAAGTCACCTTCAGACTTCACAATGAGGCAACCATTAATAACTTCACAACAGCAGTAACAAACATTGACTGGCACACTGAGCTAGAAATCTATACAGATATTAACGAATGTTTTAATAATTTTCTAAAAAAGACCCAATACCTTTATAACAAGCACTGCCTTAAAAAAACTAAACAGATGACAGCTAAGAGACTGAACAGTCCCTGGCTAACACCCAGTATTCTCAAATCCATAAATACAAAACACCGATATGAAAAACAGTACAGAATAGGTCACATAACCAGAGACCAAACAAAACGTTACTCGTCAGTCCTAACCAGCCTGATAAGAAGGGCAAAAAAATTGTATTATGAGAACAGATTATCCAACTTACGAGGTGATATAAAAAAGACCTGGAAGACCCTATCAGAAATTCTGGGAACAAAAAAGATATCATGACATATCGAAATAAAATTAGCAAAATCAGATGAACCCCAACTCCCACCAACAGAAACAGCAAACAGACTCAATGATTTCTTCTCCACTATAGGTCAAAACCTTGCCAATAAAATCCCAAGCTCAGATACCCCACCAAATGACTACCTCACTGGCAACTACCCGAACACACTGTTCCTAGCTCCGACTAACCCATACGAAGTCTCCCTTATTATCAACGCACTCAAAAACAAGGCAGGAGATTTGAATACCTTACCACCCTTTATATACAAAAAAGCGTCACAAGTACTATCACCAATCATTGCAACACTCTTTAAACAAATCCATTGAATCCTCCACC